ATATGGAAAAGTTCAAGGGGTATGAATACTTTTGCAAACCACTGTAGATCAAAATTAGAAAAATATTGATATATTAGTATTATTAATATCACAAAACAATAAAATTAACTTAAAGGTAACATTTGAAGAACTAATTGACCCGCTGTAGGTGCATGTTTGTTTTGCGTTTTTTTATGATAAAAATAATATTTAAAAACTTGTCTATACAACTGATCAAAGTATTAGAATTGCAACCGCTAAAATTTTTAAATTTTTATATCACCATATTTTTTTTATTTAAAACGTATTCTTTTCTCTCGCTTCGTCTGCCATTACTAGCTTAAAAAAATCTCCGGTCGGGCCACAATGCATTATGGGATACGCTGGGCTGGGAAGGATTCATCAGACCTGTCCTTCAAATCGGTGAAAAGGAAGGACGTATTTGTCGGCCGCATCGGAGTAGTCTTCGGTTTGGGACGTCCTTCGTCGCGGCGCTGTGACGTATGCAGCTGACGAATTCAGCCTTCGAAGGACCCAGCCTGCCGTTTTGGACAAAGCCTCAGAGTTAAATCTTAATACTGCTACGTACTTCCCAAAAAATAAGACATTTGTTCTTGCTCGCATGGTGGTGAGACTGTCTTTTTAGTACACGCATTATGTACTCTCAGAAAAACTGCAGTGCAGAACTTCTGCTCCCTCTGCAACGCATGGAACATGTCTCGATGCTGCCCGGTTGAGTTGTACTCACTCCCGACCAGCCCAACTGTGTAGAGCTGTCTGTGTCTCCGTGCACATGTGCACAAAATGGTTCTGTCTCATTCTACAAGCTAGTTTGGATGGGCCATGCAGATGTGCCATCAGACGGTTGCCTCTGAGTTCTCATAAGATGTGCAAACATACAAAAGCCTTAGAAGGTACAATTTGTCGTCCTTTGTCTCCATTTTCAGAAAAAAGTGTTTGAAACTGTTTTGGCTAAAAGTAAACGTTGTATATCTCCCACCTGTGTGCTACAAATTGTGTAAAAATAATCAGGGAAACCTTGATAAAAAATAAAATAAAAAACAAATGCACAGCAGACAGGTGTTTAAACTGAACCACAATGCAGAAGCAGAGTACTATTTACAGTGGGAAGTTATATTGGTGCATTGTTCAACTTACTATAACATGATTCTTCTACCTCCTTTTTGTACTCTGTGGTTTTGTGTTCTGTTTTATTTTGATAATCCACCCGGCCACCTTTTTTGAGTAAGTTCACATACACACACACATAAAACTTTTTAAAAGAAAGTCATACCACATGAAGTTTGTATGACCAGTTTTTTTTGTTGTTCTCAAGCTAAACTTAAATAGCTGCTAAAATACTGAACAAGATTAAATAAATTACCTCCATTAGCTTGTGAAGTTCTTTATAACAGCTCAGCCTTCAAAGAAAGATAACTGGAAACATGGACAAAAACTTTATTAAACTGAATACGTCTTTTCCCCTCATGTTTTCTCTTTTATGTCTGATATTAATAAAGTTCACCTATTATTAGGTTCTTCCTCTGAACAAAGCTGCATTAAACACAAGTGTTTGCTTTTATTCCAGGTCCTGTCTCATAACCTGTGTACAGTTTTGAGGATCCCACATGATCCGGTGGCTCTGGAAGAACACTTCAAAGACGACGATGAGGGTCCCGTTTCTAACCAGGGGTACATGCCATACCTCAACAAGTTCATCCTGGATAAGGTCAGCCTCTCTGTGAGGAGTCAGCTTGTCCTCCGTGTTCTTGTGGAGTTTTCTTTTTGCAAACCAGTTCAAAATGATATTTTCATGTTTGTGTTCACATTGTTCACACATAAGTCACTAAAAACAGCAAAGAGTTTCCTTTGTTGAAGTGGAAACTGACGGTCAGTGATTTGACTTGGAGTCAGCAGTCTGTTCTGTCATTCTTTATTTGTTTGTTTGGAAAATGCAGTGCTGGGATGTAACTAAGTACAAGTACTTTCTTGCTGTACTTAAGTACATTTTTCATGTAACTGTACTTTACTTAAGTAAATTTCATCATGGGTGCTTTTGACTTTTACTCCACTACATTTTACATTAAGTATCTGTACTTTCTACTCCACTACATTTCTGTAATGTGTTGAATTACAAAGTACATTCATGTCACGTCGATTTATTTTTTATTTTATTTTATTTATGGTTTATTTGATTAATTTTTTGTTAGAAAATAATCAGTGGCGAGAGGGGAATTGCTGTAATTGGTCCATTGAACAAAGCAGGAAAGTACCATTACAGCCTCCTTCATGAAGAAGCAGAGCAGCAGCATGCCCACAATGGTTTCCACCACGGAGGAAATGTGCCATTCATGGTCTTATTTAACTGGTTCAAAAAATGACTTGTTGAGATTTGATAGAGGAGGTTGGTGGTGAATTTACATCGTCTGCAGCTATTGTCACAATATGTAATGATTTGGGGCGGCTGTGGTAGAGTGGTTAGGGGAGTTGTCCTGGAACCGGAAGGTCGCCGGTTTGATCCCCGTCCAGTCGACTCAGTCGTTGTGTCCTTGGGCAAGACACCTTACCCGCCTTGCCTACTGATGGTGGTCAGAGGGTCCGGTGGCGCCTGTGTATGGCAGCCTCGCTTCTGTCAGTGYGYYCCAGGGCAGCTGTGGCTACAATTGTAGTTTGCCATCATCAGTGTGTGAATGTGTGTGCATGGGTGAATGTCTGCAGTGTAAAGCGCTTTGAGTGTCCTGGATGGATAGAAAGGCGCTATATAAGTACAGTCAATTTACCATTTACCATGATGCACAGAATCACAAGTCCAAGTGTGAACAGTGTCACAGAGTGCAAACACAAAACTATGCATTATCTGCAGCATTGTTCACTAAAACGGCACCGTTGATGTATTAAAATATACATATAGCAGGCACACTTCATGATATTTTAGACCATTGTAGACATTAAGCAAGTACTTTTATTTTTAATATTTTAAGTATTTTTAAAAGCAAGTACTTACTTACTTTTACTCAAGTAAAATGTTAATATGGTACTTTTACTTTTACTAGAGTACATTCTTGTCTGTTTATCTGTACTTTTATTACAGTACAGATACAGTACAGTGTTTCAGTACTTTCTCCACCACTGGGAAAATTATGCATTATCAGGAAAAGGAAAAAAAACAGTGTCAAATTGAGACTTGTGTTGGGAATGAGTGACTTGCATGCTAACATTTGCTGAGCAAACCATCCTGCAGCTGAGAGACCAGTGACAAACTCTGAGGTTGTACAAACATGGTGATATGCTCCACTGAGCCAGCCTTAGTCGTTACCATGTTCTCATAACAGTTTTATCACCATCTACTGATTCACTCATGACCTTTGATCACAATCTACACACAGGAAGCCCCAAACATCAAGTCCTGTAGGCGCTTTTTTAGGACTGAAAACTATTTTTTCTGTTTGTAAAATTTTTGTGCTAAATCATTAACATAAAGCAGATCACTACGGTAATTACTACTGGGTGATTATACACGTCTGACTGAGGAAACGGACTGAGGGTGAATTGAGGAATGGCACAGGAAACACAATGAAACTACACAGGAAATAAAATAAAACACAAGAGTACCAAAACAATAACAGACTGAGAATATCTAAGAAAAATTAACCAAAATACAAGGATCATGACAATTTCAGTATATTTCATGAAAAATTCAATAATTATGTGGGTATGGATATGTTCCCATATAAAATCATTACATATATGTGATTACCTACACTGCAAGTGATTACATGTTAACACTTTGTTATATTTATTTACACAAGCAGCTGTAACGACCTTCAGTGTACTAAAATTATGACTTAATATCACCTACAAACCATTCCTGTTCACAATGTTCACTTTTTGAGTTGTGTGCAAATAATTCATTGTGAACTTAAATGTGATTAATATTATTGGTCTTACAGCCAGTAACATGTGGCTTGTTTTTTTATTTTTATTTTTTATTTTTTGTAACATATCCTGAACCTATTTTACGTTTAGTATTAACATTTTAAATGCTCAGACAGAGAAGACAATGAGACACTTTATTGGACATGTGTAGATAATTCTAGGCAATAAGTCTGAAAATCAGACTGCAATGTGTTGTGGTCTATATTTGCAGATTTAGTGTACAGCTACTATAAGTTAGGGCACTATTAAGTGGATAAAAAGTGTTAAAACATTACTACAAAACAGCTGACTCATTATGTAATGCACTATGTTGTGAACATAGCTGTGAGCTCGTTAAGCTCTTACTTTTTGATGACATCATTGTGTAGTCATAGCATGAATGTTGTGTTGGCGATCATTCATCTGCACTTGCTGACAGATAAAAGGTCCTTTCTTTGCATTATCTGATGTCATCGAGTTTTTGTCAAGTATTGAATAAATGTTGTCATAGCAACAGACCATTATTATAGTGTTGAATTGTATGAAAATAAGAGATGTTCTGTTTTACATCCTCTGAGCTTGTTTTAAATAAAAAAAAGTCTATGTCATCATACAACAGGACAAACTGAACACTGACTTATTTATCATGGCCACTGTGGTTTGGTGCACACCATATTCACTGGATTGCAGATTGTAATTGTGTGGCAGAAGTTATAATATGCACATTATACTTAAGGTTGGGCAAAATCATATCTTGTGCAGTTAAATGCAGAAAAACTTTAATCCATTATTTTTTGGCACTTGATTAATACGATTAATGCCACCAGGCAGACTGACGGGAGATTTCCTACGTAAGTTCGCTCAAAGCTTCTCTCTGCTTTAGATATAACAAACATTAAAAACGTTCTGTGATTTATATATCATAACTCCGGTTTTACTTGGTCTATCAACACAATTTAAAAAATGATGTATAGCCTGAAGTCTGTACTTTTGACACAATTTGTAACAGATTTGCAGAGAGAAAATCTTTCTCACTAGAATGATTTAAATTGGTCATGTGTCTAAGGCATGCAGGGGATTAATCATCAAATTAATCGTTATCAGCTAAATACCACAATTAATCATAATTTTTTTCGCCAATATTATTATCCAGCCCAATTATATATATANTTAATTTATTCATTTTATGCCCACAATTTTATTTTTTGCATTGTCTATTTTTGTTTTTGTTTATGTTAAAAATTATATATACAGTATACAGTATACAGGCCTTTTTATTTGTCAAATCCATCCTGGTTATTTTCTAAAAGTTTAATTAAAATCTGTCAAGTGGCTTATGACATATTTATAAGAGCCAAAGGACACACTGACAGAGAGGGGAGGATGAGTATGAAAGAATGACCAGTGAAAAGTCCTTGCTTTAAAAAAAGTAAGATTTGGCAAAAACACTTGTTTTAGTTTCACAGTAAACATATTTTACATCCTCACAGTGGAAGCTACATTGTGTAAAATAAGAATTATTTAGTTGACTGAATATGTAGTGTTCAATTCTTTTGAATTTTTTATTTTATTTGTTAATCAAATACATTATTTTGTTGGTTTCGGCTGAGCTCTTTTGTGATGAATGAAGAAATATCTTGACTGGGAAATAAATTTAGCCTGAAGTGATTTGGTTGCAGTTGCAAGGTTCAGATAATAATGTGTAACTTTGAGATTTCTATTTTTTTTTTCTCTTTTCAAAGTTGCCTCATTACTTCCTTGTTCCTTTCCTTTGGTCTGCACTTTGATTGAAAGGAAGTTGTAAAACACATTTAACTGCTACAAACTATTTAGCATGTGAAGCAGGAAGAACATGTTTAACCCCTAAATATGCTGGTCATAATCCTTGAAAGAGCCACTGCTGAGAGGTAATAATTTTATTACGCTATCTGACAGTATCAGACTTTTTAGTTGCCAGCTCATATGATCGTTATAAACGAGAAATGAAATGGAAAGTGCTCTGAATGTTTGTCTAAATCTGAGCTATGTTTAGTAATGCTGATCTCCTGACGAGTTTAAAATGTTTAACAAGCAACTCCGTTTTTGTTTTCCTAACGAATGATTTAAAGAAGAGACATGATGTCATGATTTGAGTAACCACCCCCAACACAAACCTATAAATATTTTTCCACTCACATCCTGACCCGTCCATTGAGATAAAGGTGACTGGACAGTGGAGGGTGGGGGGTTGGTGGTCAGAGCATTCTACTGCTGAGGAAACTCCACCCTGTCATTGGAGGAAATCGTATGGAGTATGTGTAAACTCAAAAAGCAAGGCGGTAATGTCTTGTTTTACACAAGAACCAAACTGATTATAACAAGACACTAACCGTGTGTGTTCTGAGCTTATCAACCTCACTGACTCTGTCTTTGACAGGGCAGCAGAAAATAAAATATACACCACAGACATTCTGTCTTATCAAAATACAAAAATGCTGATAGATAATGTCAGCTTAAAACTCAGCGGACTGACTGTGCTGCTTTGGAGGCCAAGCTGACTATTCTTCTTTTATCGGTGTTTTAGTGATTACTAAACAGAACATCTGATGCGCACGTTTATCCTATTTCACAATAAACATAGTTACATCAGCTTTAGCCCAATTTGTCTCTTAAATCACATTTGTCAGCTTTTGGCAGCACGAACTGTACGTATACTTTAGGGGTGTAACAATATATCGATCTGTATCAATAAATCAGTTTGAATGGTTCATGATTCAGTTATATCGAGGCAAAATGAAAATATCGATCTATATCATCATCATATTCTCGATGTAA